GGGGGGGGGGGGGGGGGGGGGCGCTGATTAGGCGGAATCCATTACCTTACTGCTATCTCAGAAATTGCTGCCTTGTAGCCAATGAAGGGAGGCCTGTGCATCTCAGCTCATGTTTTTCCAAGGGCAACTGGAACCTCTTAACTGATTAGAATAGAGAGAGCAATAGGCTCAGACTCCCACTCCAAGGCCCATCTGTAGGACCCGAGTGAGGAATAGAGGACATGGATAGGGACAGCAATGACCTTAAGTGACCTCATGCCCTGCCTGAACACGTAGAGCCCCAGGCACATCCACATCCACCCAGCCCTTGCTGTGAACAAGGGAACAAAGAACCCTAACACCTGAACACAGCAGCCCTGAGCTGGACAGCTGGGAGCAATAAGACAGGACACAGAGCCAGTGTGATTCAGATTTTACTGGGGAACAGGCAGGGCTGGCGCAGCCGCCACACTGGAGAACAGGAGCTGTGCACCATGCAGTACTACGGAGTCAGGGTCCATCAGGCTCCTCAAAGCAGAGCCACAAACTATTGTGTTAAATGTAGAACAGGGACAAGGAAAAAGAGGAGCGAATTTTGCTGAAAAGAATTGGGGATCTGAAACTGAAAGAACCTTGACTGGACAAGCCTTTCTTAGCAGAAAGGGAGCCAATAAAAAGAGAGGAAGAAAGACGGGAAGAAAGATGAAGCAGGGAGAAGACTGAGGCGGGGTGCAGGGAGACAGCTAAGACCCAAGGCCCAGGGACAGCAGGGATAACCACAGACTTCCCTCTGCAATAGGGATTACAGGGCCCTGTTTTTGCTTACAGCGAGCCACCTTTGCAAACACAGGTCTTGGGAGGAAGCAGCCAGACTGCAGATGAGCAGAGATCTTCTCGTGGCCCTAAGCGTGGGAAACAGAGAGGAGGAGCTGAGGCTCTAGGAACAGCCTTTCCACAGGCGCAGCACAGCTGCTGAGGTCCCCAGCTCTGGTGAGGGAACTGTTCAACTTCCTCTGAGGGAAACTGGGCACTTGCTGGAGGCCTTATGCCCGGAAGTGATTAAAGTACATGCATAGAACGTGCACTCAACAATCCTGCAAGATCACCTCCACGGTTAGCAATTATCAGTACAGAACCTGAGGTACCGAGAGGTCAACAACCTCCTAATGCTCACACAGCTAAGAGGTGCGACAGAACTGGATGCAGTCTATCTCTGTTTCTCCAATTCTGTGCTCTCCCTGCTGTACGCCCCTACCCTCCGTATCACCGTCTCTCTGCCCGAACAGTCTCCTTTTCACAGGTGAGCTTCTTCTTGCCTGTACGGATCTAGCAGGACAAAGGGGCTGAGAACAAGCCACTTAGCCTGGAAGGCTCAGTTCCCTAATCTACATGATGGGGTTGGTAGTTCTCTCAGCTGTGTGGGTTGATTATTCTGATACAATAGATGTAGGATGGGAGCACGGGTTCTGGCATATAAAACCAATGCTCACAAATACTTTTCTTCATTCTGGCTCCAGGTCTAGGGAAAAAAAGAAGTGAACGAAGTACATCCAACAGAAGGAAGAGCAGGGTGTCAGCTCCAAGCAGGAAATAAAGTCGTTCAGGTTGAGAAATGCGTGCAGGCACCGGAGCTCAAACATATGGTGCTAATGAAGCATATTGTAAGCGAGGAAATCCACATAGGTGATCTGCAGAAAGCAGACAGTGGGTGGGAGGAAAGCTTATCACCCAGGAAAATCACAACTTCCTTTCTTCATCTCCCTCTGCTTTACCTTGTCCCCTGCAAACCAAGGCTACTTGCCCCAGGAACTGTGAGAAGCACTTCATCACTTCACAGTTTTCGCTTCAGTTTCTCTTGAAGAACAAAGTAGCCATCACTATCCTCAGACATAAGCTCCCTGGCAGAGAGGCCAGGTTTCTCAGTGCTGTGCATGACACGTGCTGGCCAGGGGCGAGCAGCCATCTTCACCAAGCCTGGGGCCATGGCAGTGTGCAAGCCTCCATCTAATTCATCATTTATTGGAGTTCTACTTGGCCCCAGACACCATCTGTCAGTGGTGACTGCAAGTGAGACACGATTATAGCGCTGTTCCTCAACCTGTTACCACTGGTGTCCAAAGCGACCTCTTGTAAGTCAGAACTAGGAATGCTGTGGGCACCAGCTAGGCTCTGAGCTCGTATGTTATACAGAATTTAAACAGCAAAATGAAAGTGCTCTGGAAGAGTGAGGGGCAAGAACTCTGAGACGGTGGACCTGGAATCTTAACCACTGAGTCCCACATTCCAAGGCTGCAGGGTACATGTGCTTGTAGGGCTGTGGACCCAACAGGACTAGGGCTTAGAAAAGATTCAAGGAAGTGCTAAGGGCAGCCCAGCCCAAGGACAGATAAAGAATGCACACAGTCCCTCCCAGGAGAGCCAAACTGCGCACTGAAGGAAGTGTTTCTGAAGGGCCAGGCTTGTGATGCGGCTGAAGAGAGCTGCCTAGGTGAGCAACGGGTTTCCAGGGCACAGCTTGCTGGGCACCAATTATCAGCATTTCGCAAGGATGTGGGCAGAAGGGTGCCATTACCGTCCCCCATGGCGTATCTTTTCTCCTCATAGCTGGTGTCTGTACATTCCTGGAGTAAGCAGGTGACACGACCCAGCTGGGACAGATGACCCATGACAGAGGTCAGAGATAAAGGGACCCTGATGGTATAATACCTACTGCAGTTGACTCCCCTAATCTAGGCCTTGCATCAGCCCGACACACACCATGTGCACATGAGCTCCAATATGCATGAGCTCCTGGAGGGACAGGCAGGGGTTCCGCAATTCCTAAAGAGGATTTATCTCTTAGAACCAGCCAGCACTACTCAGCATGTCTAGGACCCTTTCTGCCTCCCGCCTGCCAGGCGGACCCTTAGCTCACCTCAGGGACCTCCCAGGAAGCCAGGATCATAGGCATGGGGCTGGTGCTGTGGATCCACAAACAGATGTCTGCGCAGCTGGCTTCCTAGTTCTGGGAGCCACAGAGCAGGGAGGTGCAGGGCCTGGTTGCACTGGGGACTTTTGCCCACCCCAGCCCATTCTGAATTCCCACCAACCCAGAACACATATATCAATACTCAGGATTAACCCATGCACAGCACAAGAATGTACATTTTCAGTAATGTAAGGACTGAAGAAATTTATCCCACAGGTACTCATTAAAGTGTGGGATTAACTAAGAAAGATGGTCCCACACCAGGTGTACAGCGAGCCAAGAGAAGTCCAATGAAAGCTGAGAAAAGGAGCAGAGATAGGACCCTAGAGCCCAACAGATGTGCTGCAGCCATAGACCCCCCAACCCTTCCGGGACCTGCGGGTTGGGGGGGTGGAGATGATGTCGGGGTGATTCAGGTGCACTACACAGCTGTGAATACTGACAAAGATTCATCTGCTGTTTACTTCCTGCTGTACCACCCAGTTCCACAGGACTGTGAGGTCCGCTGGGAATTTGGGACCCCAAAAGCATCATGAGCTTTAATGAAGCTGCAAAATGAGATGCCAAGTGCAGAAAGAGATCTTTTATTGTCTACAGGATCTCTCACGGGGCTGCATAATCTAAGGGTATCAAACGCGGGACCAGGAACTCTCAAAACCCTTCCTTCCCTCCGTGAAGCCAGCCACCCCCCAGTTCCTTGGAAGTAGCAGTACCAGCTGTCAAGTGCAGCCAGATACAGAAAGACAAAAATAGAGCAAGTGTGGTTCGGACTTTACTCAGATCACACAGGACTGGGGCAGGGATCTCACAGGGGCACAGGGTTACCCACCACGCAAAACTGGTCTTCCAGGCACCCCTGGGGTTGGGACTGGGGTGTGCCAAGCTTCAAGGAGAGGGTGCTGACCCTGCTCTTCAAAGCAGACACAGCCACCAACAGGCAGGATAGTCAGGCTGGGCCCTGGGCAGCAAGAAGAGAATGAGCTCCTCACTCTCATCTCCTGCCCTTTCAAGGCCCTACTTGTTGCCCCATGTGGCCACCTTTGTATATAAAGGTGTTGGGAGGAAGCGGCTGGACTTCATGTAGGCAGAGATCTTCTTCAAGCCCTGCAAGGAGGAAAAACAAAGCACAAGCTCAGGGTCTGCAGTGGCATAGAGAGGTTAAGTGACTTTCTCGTGTTCACAGTTAGTAAGTGGGACAGGTCTAGATGTAGGCTGCTCTTTCTCTCCACTTCTGTGCTCTCTCTGCTGTACCTCTCTTGCCGTCCTCACAGAAGGACCTGTCATTCCCTCTCTGTACAAACTGTCTTTTTCACAGGCTGGCTCTTTCTTACCCTAGTTTGCACACAGAGAAGGGACCTAACGGGACAAAGAGACAGTTTGGAACAGAACACAGATCTCTGCCAGTGACTCAGCAAAACCTGGGTGAAAGTGTATAAACAGAGCTTAACCAGCCCAAGAAGCACATGCAGCTCTTACTCCATCCCCTGAAGCAGAAGCCCCAAATTTCTCCACTTGGTGTATGCGTCCAATCTCACTGTGACCCGTATCTCTAGCACTGATACAGACTAGGTGGCGTGAAATTCAGGTGTGCCGTGGGCCTTCTTTAAAGGACAGTGAGTGCCCAGATCATTTCTAAAGGGTTCAACATCATCCTGGGCTGCCTGCACCCAGAGTCACCCCACAGTGGCCTAAAGCTGCAGCCGTCAGCTCCACCCCTGCCCTTCCCTCCTCTCCATGGTCAAGCCAGGTCTTGCACAATCCCTAAGCCGCAGAGCCAGTACTGATGGGAACAAGTTGAGAAACATTTCACTAGATATGGAAGGGAAAATAAAAAATTCCAGGTTGAAAAACCTGCTGCGCTAATACCTCAAATTCCCAAATCTCTAACCAAGCAGGTTTTGTAGTTTACAAAGTGGAATCCGTGGGACCCATGATCAGTGCGGTCCAGACTACGCTCCTCAGCACCTGGTAGCAGTGGGCACACCTCGGTCTGCTATGCCTGCTGCCCTCTGCTCCTCGCAGTCCCAGGATGGTAGGGTGCGGGGAGAGAGGGATCACTACATGTGTCTCCGGACCTACACGGAGGCTCATATAGGGAAGATCAGTGGAAATGAAAGTAGGATCCCATTACACAAACGGAACGTTTAAGATTTTAAAGCGAAGAAGGAAAAGGTTGAAAGGGTAGAAACAAGACATCTGTTATCCAAAAGTTCAAGATAAAATCCTCCCACAGGGGTACTCCAAGGAGTACTTAATCCAGCAAGAACTATAACTTGGGGTTTCAGTGCTTCTCCCGTCTGGGAACTGACTGAGCAAAGAGAGTGTCATGTCTCTGCCTCAAGTTTTCACATCACCCGGCCACGTCACAGCCCTAATGCCAGCCCCCCAAACACTCCTCACATGCTCTCTTGCTTCTGAGGGTGCTGAGCCTGAAATCCAAGCTGAACAAGAGCCTCAGGCTTTTCCTTTGGGCACAAAGCAGAGAGAGGCACTGCCTGCTGCCCTTAGAAGCCAGAAGCCAAAGGGGAGCCCACACAGTCTGTGCTGGTGCTAGAACATCCAACAAATGACTTACTCTCTACAGTCTCAGTTCCCTTATCTGTGCAAGGGGGCTGGTAATTCTACCAGCCTTAAAGGAATGCTGTAAGGATAAATTTCACCCAATGGGTGTAGGACATGAGTATAGACCCTGGCAGAAATCCAGTGCTCAATAAATGCTAGTTTCTTCATTTCGGCTCAAGCACTAAGAAAGCATCACGAAAGAGAAAAGGGAAGGAAAGGTGGCAGCCAAGGCTTAGGAGGATGAGAGGCATCACCTCAAAACGAGAAATGAAGTCCTTCAGGTTAGGGAACGCCTCCAGGCACTTGGGGTCAAATATACGGTGCAGGTCAAGTATATCATAAGCGAGGAAATCCACATAGGTGATCTGCAGAGAGTCAAGGATGAGTGCGCTAGAAATTCTGTAACCTGGAGAGAACTGATAACCCCCAATCCTTTCCATTTTACCTTGTTACCAACAAACCACTGCCGTTTCCCCAGGAAGTCAGAGAAGAGCTTCATCTTCCCAGGGAGTTCTTCCAAGTACTCTGGCCTCAGTTTCTCCTGAAGAAAGAAACAGTTGTCACCACCTTCAGATACAAGCTCTTTGGCAGAGAGGCCAGGCCTTGCTGGACCCGTGCATGAGCCTAGCTGGCCAGGGGTGAGAAGCCATCTCCCCCGAGACTGGAACTAGGTCCGTGGCCAGGTTTTGATTTCATGCATCAGACTTTATTAGATTACAACTTGCTTGATACCTGACCACATCCTTCTGAGGGGACGGGAAGTCAGAACAACATGGTACACTATCACCATTCATGTCCCAACTACCTTCTACAGGTATAAGCTACAAGCACCCTGAGCCCTTGGTTGGCTTCAGATTTGGATATCAAGTAGAATAAAACTAAACAAAAAAGCAAGAACAAAAAAACCAGGAATAAGACGACAGTTCTTCCCGGTAGGCTCTAGAGGAATGAAATACATATTTATCATTCTATACATAACACATTCTATCAAGTCGAGGCGTATTGGAGGTGGAAAGGATGAAGAGGAACAGAGGTGCTCTGGACGACCCTGAGCTGTCTAATAAAGTAACTTGCTGATTCCTGCTGCTGGGAAGGCACAGCACCGAGAAACAAGTGGGCAGAGGTTCCAGGACAGTCCTTCACCTCATGCTCCTTTTTCTCATAGGCTCAGTATGTGCACTTACAAGTGGGCAGATGGCGTGGAACAGGTGGGAGCAGACCCAAATGCACAGGTAAAAGTTGTAGGGAACTGTGAACACAGACTACACTCGCTGGAAACTGAAGGTCCGCCGTGAGGAATCTGCACGACATCCTAAGATTGGTTGGAACTGAATAAGAGGATTCATTTAATACAGCTGGGTATTATGAGGGGCACTGGTGGCAGCATGTGGACATGATTTGGCATGTACGGAGTTTGACGGAGCTCAAAATAGAAATAAAGAACCACAGAGATGGGAATCTAAGAATCCTAATTCATAACCTCAATGGGCCCAGCCAGTAGGGAAAGAGATCACTCACAAAGTTTGGGCTGTAGCAGACTGTGGCCAGCTGATTGGAGATGTCCATAGCCTGGTTCTCCAAAATGTCCGCACGAATCTTCTCCTCTTCTGTCTCCCCACCTATAGTCCACACAGCAGAGACTCACCCTCAGCATCTGACCCCAGCCATGTCCAGAGAGATGACTATGTCCCCCCACAACTGGCAGCCAGCTCTACTCACACATGCTGTGCTTGCGGGCAATGTAGCGCAGGATGGCGTTGCTCTGGGTGAGCTTGTGAGTCCCATCAATTAAGTAGGGCAGCTGCATGAACAAGCAGGAAAGGTCAGTTGGGATTCTAGGTCCCAGCATCCGTTCCCTGAGTTAGGGCAGCCGTGACGCACTCCATGTGGAATGAATGAATGAACTGGGATATCACCATCATAGAAACACAGGGCAGACACCAGGAAAGACAGCAGTTGAGCAGGAGTGCTAATTCTGAATCCTCTGAGCAAGGAAAGGAGATGAGGTAGGGATGATTTTAATTTCTCCGAATCACCCCATCCCCTCACCTACATTGGGAAAGTCCAGGCCCAGCTTGAACTTCTCATTCAGCCACTGGCTTCTGTCATAGTCGGGAGCTGTAGTGGAGAACATGAAGTGAAATCAAATGTCGCATGAGTCCATCTCTCCTTCCCACGGTACTCTTCTAAAGAGTTGGACAAGAACCCTGAGACCGTGATCTGGAATCTTAGCCCGCCTCCTGCAAGGTAAAGTGCAAGGGCTTGCAAGGCCTTGGACCCAAGAGGACTAGGGCTTACAAAAGGTTTGGAAAAGCCCTACAGAGGATCTGACCCAGTTACAGATAGAGAAGGATGGATGCTCCACTCTTAGTGTGACCAAACTGCAACTTCAGAGAGGTTTCTGAAAGGGGCAGGCTGCAGGGCCAGCAAGAAGAGGCTGCTTGGGTGAGCAACATGTAACCAGGGCATGGGCTGCAGGGCTCCAGTCATCAGGACTGGGCAGGGTCTGAGCAGGAGGTGCTGTTACCGTCCCCCATGGTGTATCTCTTCTCCTCATAGCTGGTGTCTGTGTACTCCAGGAGCAGGCGGATGGCATGGGCCAGCTGGGGGAGATGGCCAGAGGCACAAGTCAGAGCTGGAGAGATCCTGACTGAGACTTCATCCCTTCCAAGTGAGCCCCCACCCACCTCCTCTAACAATCTCACAGGCAATCGCGCACACACACGAACAGGTCTGCACATTTGTGAGCTCCTGAGCGCTAAGAGGGACAGGCAGAGGCCTCCAGCAAGTGTGACATGGACGCATCTGCTTTATTCTGCCTCCAGCTGCCCGGCTTTTCCAGCCCCGCGTGTTCCTCCCACCCCTCAGTCAGACGGCTCGCTCACCCCGCGGATGTCCCAGTAACCCAGCGTCACGGGCATGGTACTCGTGCTGTGACCTGAGCCAAATGCCCTCAGCAGCACTAAGCTGTGACTTCACCCTCGGGGCCCAAGAGCGCTGGGCGAGGCCTGGAGAGCCTCACCCGGAGGCCAGAACTGCTTAGCTCCAACCCAACCCACCGGAAACTGTAAGAACCCGCCCCGCCCCCGCCCCGCCCCCCGGCGGATTCCTCTGCGGGCTGTGCTGGAAGCTGCGGCGCCCGGGAGACCAGCCAAAGCGCCAAAGAGAACCTCTTCGCCTCTCTCCCCACCTCTCGTGGCTCAGCCCCGGCTGGCGGGTTTTTGTGATTTGTGGGAGGTCCAGGCTGTCAGGTTAAGGCCGGAAGGGGCGCCCCCAGCCAGAGAATTTTAATTTGCCCTTCATCCCTTTTAAATCCTACAGGTGAGACGGTCCGCGAGGATCTGCGGACTGGTGTGGTTCAGAGATGCAGGGAGCAGCTCCTGTTGCAGGAGCTCCCGGTAACCCATTCCGAGAGGGCCCGCGCCCCCAGCCTCTTTGAGTCTTGGCTCAGGAAACCGTTTGCTCAGTGTGAGACTGTGGTACCAAGCACACACCCGCGCGCGCGCGCGTACACACACACACACACACACACACGCACACACGAGTGTGGTTGGCCCTGTGAATGGCATGCATCTGTCACCTAGCGGAGTTAGCCAGTTTCCTCATTGTGTGACCATCAAGCGCGTACCTTCATGGACCGAGATGGTCAGTCACTCAGGCTGGCCTGCTTACGTCACCAAGAGATGAGGCAAGCGCTAGACGTGTGCGGCTGCTTCGGGACAATGTGGCATGGTGTTTTACCGTACATTTTTTGTATAAGTAGACAGAGTATAATCTAAAATAACAACAGAAAGTGTAAACCAGTAATAGAGTCATTTATTAGCATCATTAAGTATTATGTACTGTACATAATTGTGCTTTTTTTTGTTTTTTTCTGGTTTTGCTGTTTTTGAGATGGGTCTCACTTTGTTGCCCACGCTAGACTTGAACTGCTGGGTTCAAGTGATCCTCCCACCCCAGCCTCCCAAATAGCTGGAACTACAGGCATGCGGTTGATTTGTGTACCACTCTTTTCTACAGCTGTTAGTATCATAAGTTTGTCCATACTTCCAGCACCACAATTACATGAGCAAGGTGTCACGCTATGACATTAGGAAGGCTACAGCACAATAAATGATAGAAATTCTTTAGCTCTGTTGTTATCTATAGAACCACTTCTGTATATTTGGTCTTGGATCAAAATGTGGTTAAGTGGCATGTGACCATACTTAGCAGTTCTCATATATTAAGAGTTTGTCGTTCTGAGTTTTATATTCTTGATCTTAGAAAGAAAATTTACAGATCCAATTGAGAAAATAACTTTTAAAGCTAACATTAATTAGAATAACTTTGAAAGACATAACAGATATTGTACATTAGTATTTATTTGGTTACTTCCTTTATTGAAAAAGCAATTGTTCAATTTCCACCACACACTAGGCACTATCAGGCAGTCCCCCTTGGAGACTATATTTTGATTATTAAAAGATAGAAGTCACATGGGAATTATAGGGCAAAGTTTTTGAAACTATGGGACACTTTGTAGTGTTTTTATTCACTGAGAGGAAGAGAGATTGAGTGCAAGAAAAGATGACCACGCTGGTGTTAAAAGAAAAACTTTAGACAAATTAATTCTAGCAGAGTTTATCTGAATAAAGAATAATACATGAATCAGACAGTACTTAGAGCCAGGACAGATTTGTAGGGCTCCCCAACCCCCACCCCACCCTAGGAATGTGGACAGACAGTATTTATAGTCAAGAACAGGAAATGACATCCAAAGCCACCCTGGTTAGGTACAGCACAGCACTTGCTTTTGCTGGGCATGATCTTGCCAGCCGGCATCCTGTGATTGACTGAACCTGGGCCACTGAGATTCAGCTACTTATCACAAGAATATACAGTGCTCTCTGTTAGGTTGCCATTTGTTTACGAGCCAAGTTAGGCTGTCGTTTGCTATCTTTGGAGGCAGATTTAGGACAAATTGTTTTTATTTCAGTGTAATTGTAAAATACATTTGTTTATAAATGTAAAAATGTACCTGCTTGTCTCCCTAACAATATTAAGATAGCAATTTAAAAATAGCTAGACCATGCTAGATACCAACAATACTATCACTTTAAAACACACATTTTTACCTTTCTGTAAAGTGTTGCCATCACGGAATTTTAAAAATATTTCCCTTTATTAGTATATGTCTGCAGTACAAAATGATTTCCTTCACTAGGGGGAGTTGGTACATGTACATAACGCATCTTAGTTCTCTTATTTTCCCCTCCTACCAACCTTCCCTCCCCGGGACAAATTCACCCTGGCCAGAATAAGGGCTCTAAGAAGCTGGGCAGATGGGCCCCAGAGTACAGAGGCCCCTTCGGGAGGAGAGCAGTTCTATGGGTAGGTAAGCACTAGAGCAGGAGGCTCTCAAAGGCACAGTACCCAGAGCCAGAAGGCTCGTCCCAAAGGATGACATGGGTTTCTAAAAAACAGCAAGAAATAGTCAGGATTAGGGAGACTGGAAAGTGATGCCCTTGATAATAAAGTACATCCTGGGATCGTTGGGTAGAGTATCCTGCGTGTCTGTGGGATCTCATTAGTTTATTGTTTTGTTCAAGTGCTTGCTTTCCTTGCTTATCATCTGCCTGCTTCCCCAAATATTAAGTGGGTTATTGAGACCTGCCACTGCTCTTGCAATGTCTGTTTCTCCGTTTGACCCTGCCCATTTCAGCTGTGTATATCATGTTGGTTTATTCCCACTGTGGAGTTGTAGCTTGTAAGAAAAAACTCACTTAGCCGCCCCACCCCCGCGCCCCAGAAGTTCTCCCACTGTGCTTGCATCATGTGGGAGGGCTCTGGATAACCTGACTACCTGCTCTGATGATAGTTGTAAATGTCTGGAAACTCTAACAGTCCATTGGAATCACAGGTTGTTTGTTACCATAGGAATGAGTTACATCTGTGCCCCTTGAGGGAGACAGAGTCCTTGAATGGAATCAAATAGTTCCTGCAAAGCAGGCTCAGATGTCTCTGAAGAAACTAAACTATGGCTACCAGAATAGCACTAAAATTAGTCCTTTGTTGTAGTCAGAGTTTGCAAGAGAATAGATTTAATACAAGACACATCATGTATAGGATTATTTTATAATATTCACCCAAAAAGTCAACTGCAGAAGAGCCCAAGAGCTCTGTCCACACACTGGAGACATGAATTATCCAGCTGAGGGCCTGGATCCCACAGCCGTGTCCCGCATGTGTCCCACTGAAGAGCTTGAGTTATTAATATCCTTGCACTTGTATGTTTTTAGGCATTCTGAGATATACAAATGGGTAATCCTTTAAAGTTTTTTTATTGTGCTGATAACATGTCATGAGAGCAATCCTCTTATTAAAATTTTAAGTTCATGTACAGCGTTGTAAGCAGATCGCTAGACCTCTTATTCATCTTAGGTAACTGAAACTTACACTCACTGGCTAATAGCTGCCCATTTTCTCCTCCCCCAACTCCAGAAACCTGCATGCTACTTTTTATTTCTATGGGTTTGCCTATTTTATATATCATGTAAGTAGAATCAAGCAAAATTTGTTCTTCTGTGACTACTTAATTTTACTTAGCATAATGTCTTCCAGGTTCATCCAGGTTGCTACATATTGCCAACTTTTCTTCTTTATTAAGGCTCAATAATATTCCATTGTATGTACATACCACTTTTTCTTTATCCATTCATCCACTGAGGAACATTTTAGGTTGTGTCCAAGTCTTGGCTATTGTGAATAATCCTGAATATGTAGTCCATGCTGGTCTCAAATTCATGGCGATCCTCCTACCTCAGCCTCCCCAGTGCTGGGATTACAGGTATGCACCACCACACCTAGCAGAAACTTTTCTAGATACAGTAAGTCCATGACTTATGAATATTCAAGTTTTGAACTTTCACAGATACAAATGACCTTTATTATGAACGTTCATAGATGCGAAAAAATCTCGAAAATAGCTCACCTGTCTGCCGGACAGTGTCACAGCTGTGCTGTGCGACAGTGTACAGCGGTACAGTGCTCGGTCGGAGCCCAAGATGTCCGAAGCAGGAGGAAAGCTGTGGTGATGCAGAGGGGACTGCTAGGAAGCACAAAGCGATATACACTGTATATTTGTGCAAAAGTGCGTAGACTCACTTTGTCAGACTTACAAACTAATCCAATTTACAAACATTCTCCAAGGATAGAAATCCTTCCTAAATCAGGGATTTACTACAGACAGAAATCATACCTTATTCTGAACACACAAAGTGTATATCTCTGCAGTTACTGTGGCCAATACAATTACCCATCTACTCTAATTATTATCTTTGATTAGCTTAACCATCTTTTGTTTTTTCTCTAGACACAAGAGAACCCCAGGACCTGGGCATGGTGGTGCACCCCTGTCATCCTAGCTGCTTGGAAAGCTGAGGCAGGAAGATCACAAGTTGGAGGCCAGCCTAAGCAATTTAGTGAGACCCTGTCTCAAATAAAAAATACAGAAGGGCTGGGAGGTAGCTCAGTGGTAGGGTGTATGTACAAGGCCTTGGCTTTAATCCCCAGTACTGAAAAAGAAAAGAGTTCTAGAGGAAATTTTATTTTATTTTATTTTTGGTTTTTTTTTTTCCCCGGTACCGGGAATCAAACTCACGACCTTGCGCTTGCCAGGCAGGCACTGTGCCGCTGAGCTAAATCCCCAGCCCCTTAGAGGAAATTTTAAAACCATCAAGCTATTTTAACTGATACAATAAAGAACATCATTGTTATCTACCGTCCTCTACTGTGCAGCAATGGTACACCAGAACTTCTTACTACTAACTGTAACTCAGTACTCCAGCTGCTCTTTATGAGGATCTATCCCATGTTTAAACATTTTAAGAAAACCAAAACAAATATACGTGCAGGGTCATCCAAAGGTAACTGCATATTTTATTACTCTATTGCATATCAAGAAATAAGGACAAATTAAATTTACATCTAGTAACCAATGTTTTTGTGTCTGCTTCCCCCTCTTATGAACTGTTCTAGTTTCTGTCTTCCTGGACACAGCACGCCTTTCCTAACAGTCTCAGAGTCTCCGGGCTACACAGAACCATGAGCCCTGCTCATCTCCTGGCCGCTTCTCAGTCTAAAACTGTACCCTGTTCAGGCCACATATCATGAAATTCCTTGGTGTTTTCTCACTGCAAACACCCAGTGTGTATCTGCCCAACTGTAGTGCTGATTTTAATCCTGAAAGATATGATCCAGGGCTGGGGATATAGCTCAGCGGCACAAGCACCTGCCTGACAAGCACAAGGTCCTGAATTCGATTCCCGGTACCAAAAAAAAAAAAGAAATACTTGAAATGATCCCAAACTCCATAATCCTGACTGTTGAAATCCTGAAAGGTCAAACTCCTTAAACCTTAAAATCCAGAAAAATCACAATCACAAAATATTAAAATCTCAGATATTGAAATCGTGAAAGCCAAAATCTGAAAACTGCAATTCTAACTGAAAAACAAGGAAGACTACGTAAGAGGGCTAGAAGGCCAAACTCTGGGGAAAGGGGTGGGGTACTTTGGGATATACACAGGCTAGTTGCTTCTTATTTAAGGACAGGATACCTAGAAACCTGGTCAAACTTTTTTTTGAGAGTGTCTGTGAGGAAGATCTACCCTCAGTGTGGTCAGCACTATCCAAACTGCTGGCCAAGGAGAACAAACACAGAAGCGGGGCTGGGGATTTAGCTCAGCGGCAAAGCGCCTGCCTGGCAAGTGCCAAGGTTGTGAGTTCGGTTCCCGGTACCGGAAAAAAAAACAAACAAACAAAAAGAACAAACACAGAAGCCTGATGGGTCTAAGACCATTTTTCATCTGCCTTGGACATCCGAATGCCAGACTCACTTGCTTTTGGACACCAGCACTTAGACTAGCAACTCTGGATTCCTAGAATTTTTAAAGTCTTTTTCTCCCCATAGTTCTAAATTGTCAGCATTAATTTTTTTTATAATTTGCTTTGCTATGTATTTCATTGTTGCATCTTTTCTAATCCTGGAAGTGTACATTGTGTAAAGACTTTTAGGGAGTTCTAATTCATTTCATACATTTTCTTTTTTTCAGATTTGATCCAGTGAAAGTACAGTATCAGAACACTGACTGTGTGTAAGCACTGGGCATGCACATAGAAATGTTGAAACTTAATAAATGAAGGCATGTCCTTTTTGTCCATCTACATTGGAAGATCAGATTTCTTAAAATCTTGGTTCTGGCTGGTGGTGACCCATTATGGGTTTTGTTTGGTTGGCTTTTGCAATGCTGGCGACAGAACCCAGGGCCTCACACATGCGAGGCAAGCAGTCTGTCAACCAAGCTACACCACCAACCCCCATCATGGTTTTGGATTGATCTTGTTAAAAGATTCACATCATCTATCGGAATATTTTCAGGTGACCACAGTTATAAAGCTAGGTGCACATAAATGACCAACCATAATTATATGTGCTAATGAATTTTGTTTTTTGATCTATTTCTTAATGAATACAGTTCGTCTGCTTATATCCATTGCATCTATATATGTTATTTGTATACTATAGGGTTTATGTTTGTAAAAATACAATATATTAGCATTGTCTTGTACTGTATGGGGGGAAGTGGCCTATAAAGTGTTCTGTCATGTTTCTATGTTTCTCAAATAAATTCCCTTTGGGAAATGTAGATAAATGTCTTGTAAATAAGAAGAATTTCCCCAAGAATTTTACTTTCAGATTTTGATCATTTGGAATTGTAGACTTTGTGTTGATCTTTCAGGATCTCAGCATTTGAGATTGTGTCTTTCAGAGTAACAGCCCACACCTGGGAGGTAATTGGGTCATAAGAGAAGAGCCCTCCTAAGTGAGATTCGGGCCCTTGTAAGAGAACCCCGGAGAACTAAGGTCCTCGCACCTCCCACCATGTGTGTGAAGGTGTGAGACACGGCAGTGGCGGTGTCTGAAGTGCCTTCTTCGAGGCAGCCTGTGAGGGAAGAGGCTTGGTTGGAATTAACGACAGGCCAGGATGTGAGCGGCCGCCGTGGAGTTTGGACCCTGCCTTGTCCGGTCTCTTGCCTTGGGAGTCTTTGGCCCTCTGCATCCCCACTTTCCTTACTCCTCCCACCCCCTCACCTCCCTCCCTGACTCCCTCCTCGCCTCACCTTGGAGCTCTGCAGAACACATGGGAAAGGCGCTGGCTCCGGTTATGCCAAGGGACTTTCAGCTGGGTGCACATCCACAAGCCACAGCCCCGGAAATGTCACTCTGTTCTCAGTGTCTCAAAAAACTGGAGCTTGAAAACGCACAAATCAGATCTATGATTTATTCGATTAAAACTTGCTGTGAAATCGGGAAGTCAATTGTAGGCAGACCTAAGTGCCCAAAGGTATTTCATGTAAGTTATACAAGTATCTACAGACAGCCATGAGAGGAAAAGTTCCAAGTAAGCAGATTACAAAAAAAAAAGAAACTGTTCAACATAATATGAAAATAGGCAGCAGGGAGATGAACCTGGAGCTCACAGGCAACCTCTCACTGTGACCTGGGTTTGAATCCTAAAACGCCTTTGGCAGTTGGGGGACTTTGGACAAAGTGCATAACCTCTTTGCCCTTAACTTTCCCCTTCTGATTATAGTACTGCACACCACACACACACAATTCGTTCATTCACCACATATTTATCAGGTATCTAAAATGTGCCAGTCACTCTTGTGAAGCCTGTAAGTTCTCTTCTAAGGTCCCTTACAGCTCCATAGTTTCTGACAGTTTTTTTTCTTTTGTTTTGGTTTGGGTTGGGTTGAGTTTTTTGTTGTTGTTACTGGGAATTGAACTCAGGACCTTGTGCTTGCCAGGCAGGCACTGTGCCACTGAGCTATACGCCTGGCCTGGATTTTGTCTTTTTGAGGCAGGTTTCACTACATATTTTTTGAGATTTGATACCATACTTAGCTGTGGGCCTTTCACCTGCTTCCTTTGAGAAGCATCCCACCTCTGCCATCCTGACCCAGCCACTGATGGGGCCCTCCAGCTCTCTGGCCAGCCCTCTCACCTGGAGCCAGCAGAAGTGGAAAACAGTCTTTTCTTCGGTGTTTGTCTGAAGGTGCAGTTCTCTCTGGCCTCTGCCTTTAGTTGTCTGATAGAACAATGACTTCATGACCACCAACTTAAGTATAACAATGTAAAAGCCAGAGCTTTGTTCCTCTTTAAAGAGGGGCCTATTTGCTTCTACTAATAATTTCAGCCGATATTTGAGTGCCTGGTACATGTCTACTATGAGTTTTCTCACCAAATTCTCAATGTATCTATCTCTTTTAGTCACTTCTTCCTTCCCTCATTTGACGGATGAAGAAAGTAACTTGCCCACGGACACACAGCTGACAAATCACCAAGCTATATTTGATCCAGCCTAGTCAACACCAAACCTAGCTCTAGTCAGGACACCACACTTCCTACAAGAGGCTGTAGGAGAAAATCAAAGGACCCAAAGATCCAGCCACAATCTGAGACTCTTTCCAAACCCCAGGGAAGCTGGTATTAGGTTAAACCAGGCACTAAGAAAGAGATCCCCACAGGTCACACACAGTGGGTGTTTCTTAGACTACTTTGTGTCCTTGTATTCATTATCAACAAGAAATGCAACTTCACAAGGCCATGACTTTCTGCGGACCCTATAAATGCATGCTGGCTGAGCAAAATGAAGCAACAGGTATGCCGGAGAGAGACAAGCCAGAGAGAAGTGCCCCCTGGGGCACAAAAGCATTATCAGTGCAGAAATCTCCCTGTATTAAACCTCTTGCGTTACTCTTTCCTTAAAAACAAAGGGTGCAGAGTCAATGGGACCACACGCAGGAGGCAATGCAGTGGGCCTGGCAGGAACCCAAAGCAGGCTCTAAGCTGGTCCCAAGAGGCAGGAGCTGGGCCGTGTGTATTCCGAGGGTCTCCCCGGGGTTGGGCAGGAGGGGGTTGGGCGACGGTGAGGTTCTGATCCCTATCTCTGCTCTGGTAGAGCATCAGGGGTTGGGGACACCCCCAGAGGAGAGTCTAGCGATCTGTGATTCCAGGCAAACTCCAAACCCCTGCCGGGAACCGCACGGACGGGAAGCAGAGGTGATCCTGGCTCCCGCCAACAGGACTGTGTGGGAAAAAAAGGCCGCGGCTTCATGGCACAAAAGGACCAACACATGCCTCAGACCCCCAGCTCCCCGAAGCTTCAGCCGGGAGCAGATTCAGCCCCCAGGCTGCCGTGGCTACGCCTCCTCCCCGCGGCCCTGCCTCTCCGGCACCGACCCAGCTCTAAAGGCACAGACCTGGCCGCCAGGGCAGAACTCCGGGAGTGGCAGGGCCGTTTCCTCAACTCCAGAGGAGATGCAGACACGAGAAAAATGACGGAGACCCCCGCTGCCTGCCCCTCAGCACCGCGGGACGATTGGTGAACGCTGGCACATCCCACATTCACTGGACGCCACGGTTGCCGCCGGACCGCGCTGCAAATTTAACGCACTGGAACCCTGCAGAGGCTGCGGGATTCCGGCGACGGCAAGCCCCGCAGCGCCCCCTGGTGCCGGATTGCAGCTCCGGCCGGGGCGGCCCCGCGTGCTCCTTCGCCTGTGGGATCCGCCCCAGGCGTGCGCTGAGCCAGCTGCCGGGTCTCGGGCTATATTCTGCCCCCCGGCGCCTGCACAGGACACGCCTCCGTCAGCGCGCAGGCGCTTACAGCTCTTTCCTTTGCCTCCGACTTAAACCGCTTTTCGAGGGCCAGGAGGCAGACTTTGGGTATCCCTCCGTGCAGCCCTGCAAGTAGTATTCACAAAATAAGCGGCCGTCCCTTACCGAATAAGCTGCTCGCTGGCCACTTTACACATACGATTTTATTCCTAACCACCTCCCAGGAGACAAGTCGTGCTACTATTATCTTTTTTGCCAGTGAGGGAATTGGTTTTACGCACATCTTCATCCATAGTGCGGTGAAATTCACGTAACCTAAAAAGAGGCATTTTAAAACGAGCAGTTCAGGGGCAGCCAGTACATGTACCGCGGTGAGCAATCACCACTTCTAATTTCGAAATGTTTTTATCATCCCCCAAAGAAAGCCTGTACATATCAGAAAATTGCTCCCCGTTACCTCTCTCCCCCGAGCCTCTCGAAACCACCGGTGCGTATTCTGTCCTTACGGGTTTACCTACTCTGAATGCTTCATACAAAGGGAATGGCACAATATTCTGTCCTCTTCCACTTAGCACATTTTCAAGGTGCAGCACTGCGTAACCTGCACCGGCCTTCCATTCCTTTTTGTGGCTGGGTAATATTTCCTGCACGGATACACTACGTTTTATCTGTTTGTTTTTCAATATGTATTTGGGCAGTTTTCACCTTGGGGTATCATGAATAGTAGAGCGGTATACGTGTGTGCACATGAATCTGTTTGTGTGCACATGAATCTGTTTGAGTGCCAGTTTTCAGTTCTCTTGGGACGATCCCTAGAAAGGAAGTCGCTGGCTCCTGCATTAATTCTTTGTTTAACTTTTGAGGAACCACTGAGTTGTTTTCCACGGCCACTGCACCCTTTTACAGCCCACCAACAATTACAGGAGTTTCAGTTTCTCCACAAGCCCATCAACAGTTGTTATTTTCTGTTTTCTTCTTATTACAGCCATCTTAATAGCTGTGAAGTACTGAGGCTGATTTTAAGTGAATTTATTTAAAATCAATTTAAAGAAAACTATTACAAAAATAACAGCATGGCAGTATGTGAATAGCATAATCCAAAGCCTATAAATGGAATAAAAAAGCAGGTTTATGCAGGTTGTCATTCACCACCTCGTGCTGCCTCCCCCCTGCAGGCCAAGCCAACCCCAACCCTGACACGTCTTTTCTATCCCTAGCTCGAAGTGAGCTGCAGGTCATCCTCTAAAGGGTATGTCTCCTCAGTCAGCGGACTGCGTCCCTCACCTCAGTGCCATACAACTGACCGCAGGGCCCTGAGTGTCTTTCATGGCTCTACCATGTCCTGTGCCACCAGCTCCCTTATGCTATGTGTCAGCTCTTTGTCACTGTAACCAAATAGCTGAGAAAAGCAAAGAAGCAAAGATGTAGTTTGGCCCATGGTTGCCTGGCTTCACGGCAGAAGGGCGGGATGGAGAACTACTCCCCTCAGGCCACCGGGAAGGAGAACAGGAAGAAAACCCAGAGAGGAAAGGACCAGGGACAAGACATAATCCCCAGGTTCACACATTCTGTCAATCTATTTGCTTTAACTAAGCCCTACTCCTAAGTTCCCATTACCTCCTAATAATGCCATCACATTATGGTCTCCTTAATGGACTGATGTACTGATGAAGTTAGAGCCCTTACAATCCAATCACCTTCCAAAAGTTCCATCTCTGGACACATGAGATTTTTGAGGGAAATTTTAGACCTAAACTGTAATAGGCAGTATCACCAAGGTTCCCAGGGCAAGTCTATGGATGAGGTCCAGCCATGATCCTTTCCCATGATTTTTTTTAACTTTTTACTGGAGTATAAAACATATGCAGGGCCGGAGATATAGCTCAGTGGCACAAGCACCTGCCTGGCAAGCACAAGGTCCTGAGTTCAATTCTTGGTACCAAAAAAAAAAAAAAAAAAACCACCACATGCAGAAAAAGTACACACATTACAGGTGTACAGCTTGATATATTTTTGGAAATTCAACACTTGGATAACCAGCACCCAGATAAAAATAGAACATTCAGCTCCCCCAAACACCCCCAAAACTCTTTGCTAACCAAGAATAATCACTAGTGTGTCCTTTAATACCATAGATTAGTTTTGCCTGGTTGAGGTCTATCTAATCAGAGTATGTAGCATATATCTTTTTTTTTTTCCTTAAGACAAGCTTTCACACTGTCCCCCGGGCTGTCCTCAAACTCATGAACCTCCTGACTCAGCCTCCCAAATACTGGATTCACCACTATACCTGGGACAGGTATTCTTTTGGGCCACCTTCTTCCAATCAGCATTGTGTAGCATTCATTCATGTTGTGTACATTTTCAATTCCTTCTGATATTCACTGTATGAATATTGATATGATATTCACTGGCAAGTCCAGGTCATGGATATGCACATGTTCTGCTTTAGCTGACACTATGGAACAGTCTTCCACAAATGAACCAGTATCACCTGTGAATTCCACCCCACATCCAGAACAGCATGATCTTTGTCTTTTGGCATCTTAGTAGAGCTATAATTTGAGGTTTTGGGTTTCTCTCTCTCTCTTTCTCTCTCTCTCTCTCTCTCTCTCTCTCTCTCTGTCTCGTGCGTTACTAAGGATTGAACTCAGGGCCTTTGCACCGAGCTATATCCCTATTTCTTGTTTATTTATTTTTATTACAGACAGGATCTCACTGTCAACTAGTTCCCCGAACTGGGCTCAAACTTGTGATCTCCTTGTCTCGACCTCCCAGAGCACCTGGATTACATGCATGTACCACCCTGCCCGACTTCTGAGGTCTTACTGAGCACTTCTCACATGTTTATTGATCATTTAGCTATTCTCTTCTGTGAAATGCCTAAGTAAGTCCTCTACTTATTTTCTGGTGTTAGAAATAATAAACCTGGGTGTGGTGGCGCCCACCTGTAATCTCAGGATCACGGAGAGTTCAAGGCCAGCCTGAACTACACAGTGAGATCCTGTCTCAAAGAAAAAACAGAAATAACATAAAATTTCTTATTTTTATGTTGATCTATAGTACTTTATTGTGGATACAATCCCTTTAAAAAAATCTAATACTAATTTGTGACTTTGCGAAAAGAATTTTGTAATATAATTTACCAAATTTCCCTTCACAGTGCTTTTGTGTACTATATAAAAAAAAATTTGTGGGGAAAAAAAAAATTTGTGCAATACCCGGGCATGGTGGCACACACCTGTAATCCCAGCACTCGGGAGGCTGAGGCAGGAGGATCGTTGCAAGTTAGAGACTAGCCTGGGCTACAAAGTGAGCTCAAGGCCAATCTGCACTGCATAGTGAGACCCCGTCTCAAAAAGACAAAAAAAAAAAAAAACCTGTGCATTCCAAGATTATCAAAATATTCTTCTATATTTTCATCTAAGAGCAGATCTGTCTGTAAGTGGATCCTCACCACATCTGTAGTTGACGTTCCTCTAGGCATCTCCTCCAGTGGGCAGAACATAGCACTGGGGCTGTGACAAAGGCAACAGCAAGGGAATCCCACAAGGGATTGCCCCTAAGCCACCCGGAAGTGGGGCCCGTTGAGATTGCAAAGAAGGCAGAACTACAGACTAGGATAATTGGTGTGGAAGCATTTACTGGAATCACATACAGAGTGATGCACTTACCCTGGAGGTGAACAGCAAGAAAAAAGATAATTTACCTCCATGTGTCCACAAGGAGGAGACTGGGCCCAGAGTTTTATGGGGGGTATAAGGAATCTGGCTTAGGGATATGGCTAATCTCCACATGCTTGATCTTTCAGTGTTTCCAGCCACAACCCAAATAAGTTTATCAGGGCCTGGGAATGTTCCAGGCCCCCTTTTAGAGTCAATCCACTCAGCGACTGCCTCCAAGAAAAGCAAGGAGACCTTCCGGGTCCTATCCCAGGGAGATGCTGGTTCAAAAGCCAAGTGCCATCCCCCTGTGATGTGACCTTTGGACACTGACCCCAGACTAGTGGGTAAGAGAAAGACGTGCCACAAAATACCAGAATGCCCTCCTCCCAGCCCTCCATGCTGGCTTCCCATCCTACATTGCTGGCCAAAGCCCAAGTCCTGCCTGAAGACTTGCCTGAGTGCCCCAGCCCCAGAGCCTCCTTGCTGCCCTGACCAACTATAGCCCAAAGGAGCATCTGTCACGGCTCCTAGCAAGGTGCCTCATCTTCCAGGCCTGGAGTGTGACAGGATACGCCAGTAAAAGGAGGCCTTCAGAAAGCCCTGAGGGTTACATGAAATCCCATCTGGGAAGAGGAGAGGAACACCTGTAGAAACCATCTGAAGCTGGGTGTGGTGACGCACGCCTGTAATCCCAGCACTCAGGAGGCTGAGGCAGGAGGATTGCTGTGAATTCAAGGCCATCCTGGGCTACATAAGCGAGTTTAAGGCCAGCTGCACTACATAGTGAGATCCTTCTAAACTCCTCCCCCACTGAAAAAAAAAAAAGGCATCTAAAAATTAGGGGTCACTCCAGATGAAAAGCAAGGGGAGCCTGAGACCTAGTTTGGCTCTGCTGAAAAGATATGGCCAAACTGTATGTGGCCCATAAATCTTGTTATAGCTTGTATCTAGATGTCCTCCAAAGTCTCACATAGTCACAGGTAGGGCTTTTTCAGAGGTGGCTGGATCTAGAGTGTGTGATGCTGGGATTAAGGGTGTCCGATTACTAAATCACACACTGATTGGTCCACCGTTTGGTGGGCATAGCTCTGGGTGTGAGTGCTACCTGCCCTAGGGGCGAGTAGCCTAGATAGCATATAAAGGGACAGAAAGCAGCTGCTGCTGCTGCTTGTCACTTGTTGCTCACTTCCTGCTTGCTGCTTTTGTGACCTTCTGCCTGCCATGAGCTGTTTCTCCTCTGTGATGTGCCCCCATCTGCTCTGCCACCCTGCATGAAGCCAGTGGCTT